GGCCCCTGGGCCGCTACTTCTTAGACTTAACCGTATCATCGTAAGCAGCTCAAAGCCATGAAAATCAGAACTTTTTTCCCTCCTGAAGACAAGGGTCCTCACGTTTGTGGCCCGCAGGCCTGTAGTGGTGTGTCGTACCACGAAGCCTTACCTCTGGCCTCCAAGTGTCCTGCGCCTCAGCCCACAAAGCCTGGGACTGCATGGCGCATGGCTACCACCCCCGGCAAAAATCAAGAAACTCTAAATTGCTTCCACTTCTGGAGGCCACCCACCCTTGCGCAAAGAACTGTATTTTTTTCGAGACAGAGTCTCCCTCTGTCTCACAGGCTGGAGTACAGTGGTGCGATCTCGACTCATTGCAACCTCTGCTTCCTGGGTTCAAGCGATTCTCGTGCCTCAGTCTCCCAAGTAGCTGAGATTACAGGCATGCACCACCACGCCCAGCTAATTTTTATATTTTTAGTAGAGATGGGATTTCACTATGTTGGCCAGACTGGTCTCCAACCCCTGACCTCAAGTGATCTGCCCTCCTCGGCCTCCCAAAGTGCTGGGATTACAGGCGTGAGTCACTGCACCTGGCATGTGATTTTTAATGTTGTTAGTTTCAACAATTCGTTATGTAACCTAGACATAAAATAGAACTAGAAGTTATGTAAACCTTAAAGCATGGAAACATCAGAAAACCATAGTATGATCTTTTTGTTAGAATATTAAATATCTGTTAAAAGTAAAATTAATATATTATTTATAAAATATAGTAATATATTCATTTTACTAACATATTTAGTATTTTATTAAATGATAACAATGTATATGTTGATTTGACATCTTTATATTTTACTTATTAAATTGTGAAATATTAATTCAAAATGCCTTGAAATAACTTTTACTCCTCCTGCATACAGCGTAAAAGAGCAGTGGACCTCAATGTTAAAATCTTGGATTTGAGTAGTACATTTCTTATGGGAACCAATTTTCCCAACAAGATTGAGAAGCATCTCTTACCAGAACACATTCGTCATAACTTTACGTCTGCTGGGGATCATATCATCATTGATGGTCTCCACGCAGAGGCACCAGATGACTTGGTATGTATGTTTCATTCTCTTTGTTGTTTAGGTCCCATCTGTGTGTTGCTACTGTTTTAACCCAAAATTCAGTGATAATATAACAGTATCCTTAAAAACTTTTTAGCATTACTAAGCCCTAAAAATTTAACTTGTGGAATTATTAATGCCATAAACACTTAAAAGAATGAAACTGATTTAATTACTTACATTTCATACAAGACTTCTTATTTTTAAAGTATGATTAATAGCAGCATTGACTGACATTCTAGACTACAGAGACTTTTAAATTCATGCAGCCTTACTTCTCCTGGTTAAGACGCTGTATAGCATAGAGATCCATGCACTGGGTAGAGGTTTGTCCCGCCGTACCTCAGAACAGTGCCCTAGAGCTGCAGTCACGTATGCTGTTGCATCCCATGCTATTGTATGACTCTGGAAGCTTTATCGCCTTGTGTAGACCATTGCTTTATCTTGAAAGCAGTGATCATCTGCAGATAAAGTGGTGAGCATGAGCCTGTGTTATTGTCGCATAGGACTGTGTCGTGGTATTTATAGCCTTCACCATTTACTTTTTAAATGTAGGTGCGAGAAGCTGCTTATAAAATTTTTCTGTATCCCAACGCTGGTCAGTTGAAATGTTTAGAAGAATTGCTCAGCAGTCGAGACCTTCTGGCAAAGCTGGTGGGGTATTCCACGTTTTCCCACAGGGCTCTCCAAGGAACGATAGCTAAAAATCCAGGTAAGCCTGTTTATCCAACATTTCAGGGCAAAATAGGATTTTTATGAAACCGAGCTTTTGATTTTAAATAGCTGTAAATTAGTGTTCTATTTTTAATACGTGCAGAGAACCATTTATAGAGATTTTCTATGTATTTTTATAGGAACCATTTTTAAATAGAGCTAATAATTTGGCATCTATTCTGTCCAACCAAAGAACTTTATTTTATGTGAATGTTGAGAGTAAAATCATAACCTAAATTTTCATTTTGATGTTAGTCTAAATTGTTTTCATTTTAACTCAATTAGTTTCTGTGCTCCATTTGACCAGATTGGTTAGAATTAGGGTGAGAGAATGAAAGACCAGTATTTTACTGAAGTCGAGATTAATTATAGGTTAGGTCATGTAAAAAACACACATTCAGATAGGCCTGCTTTTCAGAGGGAAGAGTCCTGCTTAGGAAGGTTTGTGCTAGGTGAGGTGTTACGGAAGTGTGTCGTTGGGTTTGTCATAAACTGCCTTGTGCTATGTTGAGTTCCTTATGATTCATAATGTCTAAGAGAAAATGTTACACAATAATATAAATGTACATAATACGTTTTTTCAAAAGCATTTATTAACTTACAGTTGTAATTTAGGTGGTGAGTCAGGAGTAGGGTGGCCATGATAGTGGAGCTGCGTGAGACTTAAGGTCTTGGCAGTGAAGTTGCAAGACTTAGTGAGGATGAGGGGAGGAGGAGGCAGTGTGGTGGGCCCCCTGGGGTTCTAGTTGTATATCTGGTTAGACATTCCACTCACGGACAGAGGGGACACTAGGGGCAGATCACATCCTGAATCCTCGCTTATCTTGATTCCTTCTGTGCTTATCCCTTCTCACCCTAGCATGTTCTTCTCTTCTCCAGAGTTCTCTAAATGCACTCAATCTTGCTTCCTACTCTTTCATAAACAGCTGTTTCCCTTGACTTGTCAAGGCTCTCGGTTAAGCCACAGGCGTGTGTCACTCATCGCGGCCTGGGTTCCCTTGCTCATGTCACTCTCCTACAGAGAGCAGCTTTTTTTCCTAGTCTACCTGTTAAAATCTTACCCCGTTTTTTTAGTGCTCAGCTCAAAACTCCTCTTTCATGAAGTTTGTTAAACTTTTTCACTTTCCTTGGACTGCTTTGTCCCTAAACCCTTAAAACACTTATAATTTGGTTCATATAATCGAAGCTCCTAAACAGATATAATATGTATGTTACGTATTAAATGTGTGTTTTTAGTGTATGTCTTTTCTTTTTTTGTAAGTATCAGTTTGGTGGAAAGTATGTTTTTCTGTAGTCGCTGTTGTCAACAGTTTGCTTATAATAGTACCATATTTTTATTTTATATTTATATAAAATAATAGTATTAGAATATCATTCAGTGCTTACTCTGTTGTTATCTCATTTCCTTCCTCTGCAGCTTTGTGAAGTAGGTATTTGTGTTCATGTCACAGATAAGGAATCTAAGGTTAGGTTATATTGCTAAAATGTGGCAGAACTGAAGCCTAAACACATATTCTACATTTATGGTTTTCCATAGGCTGCTTGAGACCTAATGCCCTATGTTTGATATCATCTACATCCCATTTGTGTTTATTAATTCAGCAGATATTTACTCATTGCCCACTATATGTCAGATACTGTTCTCGGTCATGGTGTATAAAGCAGAACAAAATTCCTATCGTTATGCCGTTTACATTCTCGTGAGCAAGGGAAGACAGTTAAGAACGAAATGAGTAGATAAAGTATGTGGTGTGTTATTAGTTAATACAAGCTGTGGAGAAACGGAACAGGGAAGGGATAAGGAATGGGGGCTTGTAGGCTGGGGCTGGAGTTTTAGAGAGTGTTGTCGGAGGGCTCACTGAGAACGTGGCGTGTGAGCACGCTCTTGACAGGCACCGGCGTGAGGCTGTGGCTCTCGGGGGCAGGAAGGTTTCGCGCAGTCACTGGCAAGTGCTAAGGTCTTGAGGCAGACAAATGCCTGCCACGTTTGAGGAGGGCAGAGTGGCTGAAGCGCAGTGTGTGCAAGGAGAGTGGCGAGAGGTGGGAACGGGCTGACAAGGGGCGGCATTAAGTAGAGACGACGCGAGTGCAACAGGTCGCTGTGCGGGTTGGGGCAGAGGAGTGAGAGATGTGACTCCAGTGCTCATGGTGAGAGTCAGTGCTGCTGCTCCTGAGAGAAGACTGCAGCAGGGCCAGGGTGGAAGATGGCCTGTTTAGATGCTGTTTTGCAGTAACTATGATGAGAAATGTTGGCGTCTTGACCAGGTAGTAGCAGAGAAGGTGGTAACATGTGATCAGATTCTGGGTACATGGTATTTGGAAGAGAGAGCCAACATTTTCGACCTAAGCAACTAGAAAGAGTGAGTTACTACTGTTAACTAAGATTAGGAGGACCGGGAACTTGGTTCGGTTCAAGTTAAGTTGGAGACACCAAATGAGGTTCACGTGGCCAAGTTGAGTAGGCAGTTAGACAGTGTGGAGTTCTGAGCTTCAGATGTAAGTTTGAACCTCTAAAATGAGACTCTGAGACCACTAAGAGAGTGAACTTAAAGAACAAGTCCAAGGACTGCGCTCTGGGGTCTTCAAGTTTAAGAGGCCAGGCATGTGAGGAACTGCTAGTTAACGCTGCCAGATGTAACGGCCAGTAAGGGAGGTGGAAAGTGATCACAGCGTGTGGTCCTGGAGGCCACGCAGAAGGTTTGTCTACAGGAGAAGGGAGAGATCAGCTGACTCATGCTGTGGCCAGGTCAGATGTGAGGAGGGCTGGGCATGACCACTGGCTCTAGCAGCGTGGAGCTCACTGGACCTGCAGCACCCAGCGCCAGATTCCGTGACTGGCAGGTCAGCCTTGTGCACTAAGTGCTTGGTGTGCTGATGTACTGGCAGAGGGCTGCTGTGCACATCATCACGTAAGTTGTGCCCTGGGTCCTTGAGGATTTAAAGCTTAGTTGAGGAGCCAGATATATGCTTATAAAAAGATAAATGTTAATACAGGTTGGCACGTTTTCGGTGCTGATGGAGTAGTACAGACAAAACAATGCCGTGGGATGTAAGAGCTCGGGGCGTTTGTCGGATGCGTCTGTGGCTGTTGAAGGCACCCTGAGGGAAGTGAAACCGTCCTGCGCAGTGTCAGGGTGAGCCCTCCGCAGAGCAGAGGGAGACAGGAAAGGCTGACTGAGGCTAAGCGGGCATTCGTGTGGACGGTGAATGAGGAGGTAACTGCGGTGAGGCACTTAGTGATTTTCAGGGGGTTTCAAACTCAGTCTTAATATGACAGTTCTCTAGGGACACTAATTGAGGCAAGCCAGGGGCAGTGTCTCACGCCTGTAATCTCAGCACTTTGGGAGGCCGAGACAGGCAGATCACTTGAGATCAGGAGTTTGAGACCAGCCTGGCCAACATGGTGAAACCCCGTCTCTACTACAAATACAAAAATTAGCTGGGTACGGTGGCAGGTGCCTGTAATCCCAGCTACTTAGGAGCCTGAGGCAGGAGAATCGATTGAACCCCGGGAGGCAGAGGTTGCAGTGAACCGAGATGGCACCTCTGCACTCCAGCCTGGGCAACAGAGCAAGACTCTGTCTCAAAAAAAAGATTAATTGAGGCAGATTCTTCACATGTAAAATGACTGGAAGAATAAGATGGATGAATGTTAAAAGAGGGTTATTAAGAGATAAAACGTATGCAAGCATACAGCGGGATTCATTTCAAAACAGTTTGGTATGGCACCTGGAATATAATCCTAAAATGAGATTCCTTGTTGACTAAATAATGTCTTTGTTCCCCCAAAATTCCAATTGTTGTTTCATATGGCACATGAGCCAGTGTTTTCAGAATTCGTATACACAGGACTTGTTAAGTATTGACAGTGGCAAGAAACCTCATGGTTTGGGTTTAGGTTAACCACCGTTAATTATTTCCTTAGCCTTTTATTTCACTGAAAAGGAGGTAACTTAAACTGAAGAGAGGGCAAGAAACTTAAAACTGTATAAAAGATTATCTGGAAAATATAAATATAGTGTTTGTCGTGAGCTAAAATACATATGAAAGCTCTGTATACATAAGTCAGTGATAAAAAGTGCTACATTAAAAAATACTCATAAAACATTTCTTCTTATGGGAAACGGTGGTAATCCTACTACACTGCCTTTATGGGTTTGTAGATTATGACAACTATAGCAGAAGTATTTTAATAAAAGTACTTTAAAAATTCTATCGGAAGTTAAAATTTATTTTTCTTATTTTGCTATTTTTTTCATATTTATCCTGAATAGATTATTCTACAGTTGTATATAAAAATAAAATTGCTATCAAGAAAAACATTGATTTTAAGAAATTTATTTCAGTGAATCATACTTCCATACTGCGCCTATTTTTAATGAATAAAGCAGAGTCTAGATATCTCTTTAAAACTTTGAAAACATCAGACATGTCTAAGAATGTTTTTTCTTACACATAGGAATGGATAGAAACACTTTGAAATTTGGGACTTTTTTCTTTAGCTTCCAATTAACTCGTTTTTTTTTTGAGATGGAGTCTCACTCTCTTGCCCAGGCTGGAGTACAGTGGCACGATCTGGGCTCACTACAATCTCTACCTCCTGGGTTCAAGCTCTTCTCCTGCCTTAGCCTCCCATGTAGCTGGGACTACAGGCGTGCACCGCCACGCCCGGCTCATTTTTGTATTTTTGGTAGAGACGGAGTTTTACCATGTTGGCCATGCTGGTCTTGAACTCCTGACCTCAGGTGATCCACCCCCCTCAGCCTCCCAAAGTACTGGGATTACAGGCGTGAGCGACTGTGCCTGTCCCATTAACTCTTTTAATTTTGGGATATAATCTGAGGCTGTGGATTATTAGTATGCCAATTTAATTTTTTTCTGATTAAAAGATCATCACCTAGAAGTATTTACTATATATTTGGTATATGTTAGTAGCTCTACTTTCCTTTGAAAATCATCACTTTAAGGGAATTGTGGTATATAGATTATGATCATCATCTAATAATTCTAACAGATATGTTCATTTTATTTCACATAATTGAAGATATTTTCTTTTGGATTTCATTTTAGAGACTGTCATGCAGTTCCTTGAGAAACTATCTGACAAACTTTCTGAAAGGTTAGTTTTTATTCTACTATTTAGTTTTTTGGTTATATGTTATTTAGTCATTTTAAAGAAGACTTGATTTATAAAAAATTAGGAAGTGACCTAGAATATAAGTTTTGGCATATTGGACCAGACCTGTCTCACTATGAGACATAATTTGAAAGGCCATAGTTGTCTTCCTTAATGTGCCATTCTTGAAAACATAGACTGTCCCCTTTCATTAAACAATTGTTTTTAGAAATTCATCTTTCATTTGCACTTTAAAAATCTTTACCAAAATGTTTTTGAAACTATTTTAACTTGTGCCATGAATTTTATGACAAGTTCATAAAGTAGTATTTCTCTTCTTTTGGCCTAAATACAGGAGGCTTGTGGATGTGGTGTCTTTTTGATTTTGTGTAGTATTTTAAGAATGTTCTGTCTCAGCGTTTGTAATTTCAGGCTGCAGTGTTTTACTGCCTTTGGTGTGTCCGTTTGTTTCATATACGTTGAGTGTCCCTTATCTGAAATGCTTGGGACCACATATGTTTTGGATTTCATTTTGGGGGGGAAATTTGGAATATTTGCATATATGTAATGAAATACCTTGGGGATGGGACCCAAGTCTAAACACGAAATTCATTTATGTCTCATATACACCTTATACACATAGCCTGAAGATAATTTTATACAGTGTTTTTAATAATTTTGTGCCTGAAACAAAGTTCTGGCTGCAACTCATCACGCGACATCACATGTGGAATTTTCCACTTGTCCCATCATGTCAGTGCTGAGAAAGTTTCAGATTTTCAGATTAGGGAGGCTCAACCTGTATTCCCGCCTCCCCTGCCCCTCCCCTGCTCAGTGCCTTCACTCATGCACTTGCCCTTCACTGGCCGTCTTCCAGGACTTAGTTGAGAGGCAGCACACCTTTAGGTACTAAGGATTCTAGGAAGAAGCAGTCATGGTTTGTAAAAAAGGATGGTGTTTCCTCTTGCTCTCTTGTGATGCTGTCTAAAATTTTGTTTGCCTTTTTTGGCTACACCAACACATTGGATCTTGGCTCACATTTCTGTTTTGGACTATAAACTCATACCTTGGAACTCATTCCTCTCTAGTTTGGATTATGTTTATAAATTCTAAAATTTTCTTTTAATAATCCTGGTGAACCACTGTGTCTTTGATACAATAAAGAGGGTTAATTATGCACTTATTGAGGATTTATCCTGCTTTACTCAGTTAAGTGTTAGTAGTCTTTCTCTACATAGCTGTAGATTTTTTGAGCAAGCATAGCTTCATAATTTTACAGGTATATATAGGAGTTAGGAGTTAATTCCAATATACATGTCATATTCTACAAATATTAAATACTTATTTAATTATTGACCAGCTAGAATTTTTCTATAGGGGAAAAATGACTAGAAATCTTAAATGTAGCCAATGATAAAATTCCTTTCTAAAGTTAATTTGTTTAGTCTCTTTAAAAAGGTATAGCAAAAAGTAGTTATTTAGTAGTGATTTAAAGTTTGCTGATTAATGCTTTGCATATTTGTAATGACATTGCTAGTTTTTCTAAGCTTTAGGACTCTTGAGGCATATATCCACCATGCTGCTTTTTAAGGTAGAAATTGAATATGCTGCTTTATATGTTGTTATTTCTCATGACACTTAGGTAAAATTTGGATTAATAATGATTTACATGTGCACTACTAATTATATCTAATCTTCTTATGAATATTGGAATGTAACATAAGCAAGCTAGTCCTTTCGTAATGTAATTATTAAAACTTTGTCCTAACAAGTAATGATAAACCTGTTTTATAGAACTCTAAAAGATTTTGAGATGATACGAGAGATGAAAATGAAACTGAATCCTCAAAATTGTGTAAGTATGTTGGAATATTTTTATTATAGACAGTCTATCAACTGAAATCCATATCTTTTGGTTCAGGGACTTTCTTGTAATAAGCTAGAGGTCCATTTAGTCTTGTTTCTGATCCTCAGTTTTGGTGAATAAAGATGTTGAAATATTTGATTCTTATGTCCCAAACTGATGTTGCCTGTACATACAGCATTTTTGTTGAGGAGTTGACGTATTTTGTGTAAATACACTAACACAATGTGTATATATTCATGCAAAGACTGCTTTCATTCTGTGGAATGTTGGCTTCTCAGTTTGAAGCAGACTTTAAGGAGTCTCAGTGGAGGCTTGATCTGGCAGGTGGCCATTTTAACCATCAGTGTTAACATTGCAGTTCATTTGCTTATTTGTTTGCTAATTTATGATGCCTAGTTGAGTAGGTCAATATTTGACTGACAAAGTATACCACATTCTAGAAACACTTAAGTGTTGTTTTCAATCATGTGATTGTATGATCTTCCTTATGTGGTCCAACAGTATAGACAAGTGTTATTATGGCCAGAATGCTGCCCAGGTGATTAGGGGAGTACCCTGAAAAGTGTCGAGATTCCAGATATTAGGACTCATTCCCATTTGGTTCTAGGGCACTACAGGATTGCCGGGGTTGTCTACACCATTCTTTTCCAAATGCTGTTGTTAGTTCTTGACTTAGTTGCTGCTGCCAGAGCCATAGTCACAAGGAAGATTTAGGGAAATGGGCCTTGCAGATTTACAAACTGTTTACTAGCTTCCCAGATATAGCCAGTAGGAAACAGATTAATCTCATTAAACTCAGTGATGTGTAGAGTAGCATGTCAGTCTGTTAATTTATGGAGGGAGCTGTGTCTAGCAAAGTAACTAGTGTTAGTCATCTGCACACCTTGGCCTGGTAGGTAGTCTCATTTGGGAGACTAAATAATAGATAAGAATTTAGTTTGGTGACTATAGAAACAGAAAAATAAAAAATAAAATGTGTTGCCAAAAGCTAATTCAGTAAAAGTGAATATGACTTTAAACTGTTATCTGTAGACACTTGTATATAGCTTATGGATATGATTATTCTGCAGATATTTGTGAAATGCCCAGTCTCCTCATGAAGTCTCTGTTTTTGTGAATGGTGCCACCATTCACCCTGCTGTTCTAATCAGGGCCTGTACTTAATCCAGACCAGTGGTTCTCAAAGTGTGGTTCCTGGACCAGAAGCAGTAGTATCACATGGAAACTTGTTAGAAATGCAAATTCTTGAGCCCCACTTCAGACCCACTGAATCAAAAACTGGGGCGAGCTCCACAATCTGTGTTTCAACAAGCATCTCCAGGCACTGCACACTGCCCTCCCCCTTAATCATTTGTTAGTTCCCGCAGCTTCTCCCGTCCTGTGAACTCTTGTGTCTTCTCCTGTACCCATTGCCATAGCCTGGGTTGGGATCATTATTCTCACCCAGATGGTAACTGGGAATGCCAAACTGGTTTCTAGCCTTTTGTTCTTGCTCTACTCAAAGCCATCTTGGATTCAGACAGTTTAACCATGGTTTTAGCCCAGTGTTAGGCGTAGAATTGGTTGTCAACACTTATTTGAACTATGAATGAATAATAAATGAAGGAATTGCCACCAGAGGGATTTGTCTAAAAAGCAGATCTGATCTTCTCACTCTCTCGTTTAAAATTCTTCAGTAGCTCCCGGTTATTCTCTGATTTCCCTTCCTACTGCCCTGCTGCTCCCGCCAAGCCCTCATGATTTGGCCCTTGCCTGCTTCTCTAGCTTCATCTTCTGCTGCCCCTCCAAGCCGAGGCTGTATTCTTTGCTCTCTCCTAATAACTGCAATGCTCATGTGATCTCTATTCACTTCGTTTTGCTTTCTTTCCTTGCTTTGCTTTCTTTGATTCTTTAATTTGAATTACTATTTACGTACTGGCCACATGAATATGGCATGGTTGGCAGCTTCCAGTCATTTACAAACACCACCTACAGGAATGCCTTTCCCCCTTTCTCATCTGAATTAACTGCTCCTATCATAAAACTCAATTCAGGCTTTGCCTTCTCGAGAACATTTCCTAACCTTCCGCTGTGATTTAAATACCCTTCTCGTGGACTGTGTTTTACATGGCACAATGTAGACATGACATGCTGTCCTCTGATTGTTGAGTCACTTGCCTTTCTACTGCCTAAGCTATCATCCTCTTGCCTTTGCCTCATTACAGCCTGCACTCTGTCTGCATCTAGCAGATAGTAGATAATCATCTGTTAGAGAAAATGTGTGCCAAGACCTGAACACTGTGGGGCCAGGATTCCATGGACACAGTCCCTGCCCTTCAGGCACTCATGGGGAGAAAGAAAATAAGCCTACACGTATCTTAGGTTGTCATACATCCCTTGATACAAGTATTACCATGGAATATGGGAAATAACACCTTGTTATTGGAGGAGATTATGCCTAAACTGAAATGTTAAAGGATAATGGTACTGAGGAGAGCAGCTAACATTTGTTGAGCCCTTACTCAACGCCAGATACTCTACTTAATAGTTTAAGTACATTCAGCAATCTTATTTGGGAGGTACTGTTAATTCTTTCAACAAGTATTTACTGAGTGATTATCCTGTGCCAGGCACTGTTCAGGGTACAGGAATGTAATAGGGAAGGATACAAACGAAGTCCCTGTCGTCATGCAGTTTATGGTCTGGTATGGATTGGAAACTTGAGCCCAGGCAGTCTGTCTTCACAGCCTGGTCTCTTAACCACTCTCTTGTCCACCTGGAGACCTAGAAGGAGGACAGTTCATTCAAGTATTCAAGCTTTCCCTTCTTTCAGTATTATATACCAGTCATCAGAAGCAACTAGTACTGTAGTACTTCTTTATGACATATTTTCTTTCCCAAGATTAGAGTTAATTCTGCCTGGGTTACACTTTAAATTGTTGCTTTCATTTTTGATACCTACCCAAAGCTTCTTGCGTAGATTTAGAAAGAACCTTAATCTTACCTTTAGTACACTCATCTTGCCTGCAGTATGTTTTATGGATTAATACATGGGTTACATTTTGGGAAAAATTTCGTTATGGCTAATATAATTCATTAATGTTTACTTTTGTTAGATTCCACTTTAGAATGACACTTGTTTGCCTTTTCCCAGATTCCGTAGGTCTTATTTATACCTTGCTCTCCTTTGATTACAGGGAAGTCAAAATAAGGAGCCAGGTATTTTCTGCCAAGCTATCAATTTTTTAAGGGATTCTATAAAATTGCTCTGATTTACATGAACAGTAGCTGGTTTACATTCTATAAACTGGCCACGTTGCTGATAAAAACTGAGAAAGAGTCAGTAGCTTTCCTTAACAGTGAATTATTCCGTTGTAGGAAGTAATGCCTTGGGACCCCCCCTACTACAGTGGTGTGATTCGTGCAGAAAGGTAAGTTTTTCAAGAAATACCCATACAGGAAAAGGAAAAAGGAAACTGATGTTTATTCGGCAGCTACTGTCATCCTCTGAGTCACCCATAGTACAAATCCTTCCCCTGACACCATCCTTTCTGCTGGTGTGGTCTGCTTCACTCACGTATTCTTCAGCTGCTTGTATCATTTCCTTGTTTAAAATTCTAGAATCTGGTCCCTCTCCAGTCCTGCCCATGCGTAGCTTTCTGGTTCTCTTCCTAGGCTGTGAGCTTTGCTGGAATCCTTGTTGTGTCCCGTTGCTGGCCCAGAGTGGGGGCTCAGCACGTGTTTACTGAACCAGTAAAGGAATAAAGCAGTACATGGCATGGTGCTACGTTATTTTCTTATGTTTTCTCATTTTTATTTGGACACATATATTGTCAACACATTATTGGTCCATCTGGAAGGATTTAAACGAAATACAGATTTAAGGAACTTAAGTTGACAGAAGTACTCCTCTGGCTTCTGTATCCTCCTGTGTTTATTATATTGGAGAAAAGTAGGTATGTCCTTCTGTCCCTACATACACACTATTTCTGTAATTTTTATATTTATTTATAAACCCAAGAAATAGAGCTCTTTTCACAGTGAACACATTTTAAAATGTTTATAGCTCAAGCAACTTTATATGCCCAATAGGAATTTTACAGAAAAAGCTCAGAATCTTACCCTTTAATAACTTGTTAACTTTTTTCTCTTGTAATTAATTTTTGAGATACACTGTTTAAGTAGCAGAGTTAAGATTGATTTAGGTAATAGAAGAAAATGTAAGTTTTTTTGTTTTTTCTTCATTAAAGCATACCAGCATGCACTGTGATAATATGTTTATTTATTTGGTATTAAGCTTTAAAATATTTTTATGACTATGCATTATCGAAGCATCAAGTAAAGCATAGTAGGTACTTCTCCAAAATAAGAAGTAATTGCTTAATTATTTATTTTGGCATTTGTCATAAAAACAGAAAACAATAACTTTCTATGTTCTTTTCTATACCAGCAGGATGAGGTAGCCTAAGATCAATGAGTGTATTGAAGCACTTACTTGCTTAATTTTCATTTATTTTCCAGTCTTTGGGCTGCATCCATCACTGTTGCCAAAACCATTTTTACTTACAAGACATAATTGTCTCCTAACCTTTAGTTAAGAATATTTGGTCAGATACTATTTTTTATTTTTATTTTTCATTAAACAACTCTTTTTAGAGACAGGGTCTCACTTTGTCGCCCAGGCCAAAGTATAGTGGCACAATCATGGCTCACTGTAGCCTCAACCTCCTAGGTTCCAGCAGCCCTCCTGCCTCATCTTCTCAAGTAGCTGGCACTACTAGTGCGTACCACCATACCCAGCCGATTTTTAAATTTTTTTGCAGAGATATAGGTTCTTGCTGTGTTCCCCAGGTTAGTTAGCTACCATTTTTAAAAAATGTATCTCAAATTCAGCATCAGTCTTTTTAGTGAAAATACATAAACTGTTATTCAAAATCTATAATAATTTGTTTATGGTAAACGACAAGGGTTTAGAATATATTATAGCTTAATGTAAGATATTGTTTCACAAAATTGTTTTCTGGTTGCAGAACTTGAAACCCTGCTCCCTATAGTTGCATTAAAAAATAAAATTTCTGCCGGGCGCGGTGGCTCACGCCTGTAATCCCAGCGCTTTGGGAGGCCAAGGTGGGTGGATCACGAGGTCAGGAGATCGAGACCATCCTGGCGAACATGGTGAAACCCCGTCTCTACTAAAAATATAAAAAAATTAGCCGGGCGTGGTGGCGGGTGCCTGTAGTCCCAGCTTCTAGAGAGGCTGAGGCAGGAGAATGGCGTGAACCCGGAAGGCAATGGAGCTTGCAGTGAGCGGAGATCGTGCCACTGCACTCCAGCCTGGGCGACAGAGCGAGACTCCGTCTCAAAAAAAAAAAAAAAAAAAAAAAAATTTTTTTTTAAAATTCTGTCAAAGATTTGGCTTGGCTGTTTCACCTGTTAACAATGTAGCATAAATCAGTAGTAAAATTTATTTGTACTTTCCATGTTTCTGTAAAGCATTTGATTTTTGACATTGGACAGTAATGTAAATTAAATATATTTAATATTTAATATTCTAATTTTTATAATTCTAACTTTAATTCTAAATATTTAAAATATTAAATATTCTAATTTTCAGAATTCTAATTTTAATTCTAAATATTTAAAATATTGAATATTCTACTTTAATATTAAATATTCTAATTTTTGCTACTCTCATTTTTATGTGGTATTCCTTTCATACGTCCCCCATACCTGATTATTTTCAGTAATGCCTTAGCCTTAAATGTGATAGTTTTTTCGTGTAACTATACTCTGTAAATATAGCATATGCCCAAATGGTGGTTCCAAGGTAGGAGATCAGCAGGACCTGTTTTCTGGTCACAACCTCCTGACCAGAACAGAATCTGGTCCAGACAGGATGAAGTAAAGAAATTAGCCCAGACCAGCAGATGGCAAGGAAAGGGATTTCTGGCTGCCCTCGCTGCTTATTAGCATAAGACACACCCACCAGCGCCATGACAGTTCACAAGTGCCATGGCCAATGACGCAGAAGTTCGCACCCCTTTCCTAGAAAGTTCTGAATAATCTTCTCCCAATTTGCATTAACCCACCCCTTAATTTGCATCTAAATAACAGTGGGTGTAAATACAGCTGCCTACAGCGCACAAGCCTGGCTCTGGGTGCACTGTAGAATCTGATCACAACCTACTTTTGTTTTACAGAGAGAAACATCTTTACTCACATTTATTTGTTCTCATTTTTCTTCCACCCCTGCTCTTCCTCCACAGTTTATCCCAGCCAAACCCCTTTCTGTCTCAGAGGCAGAACCTCTGTCGGGGGAGCAGTGGGTTCCCATTGCCTCCCTGGTTTGTCTTACACACCTGTGACATCTTGCCAGGGGTCCATGAAGCCGCTGAGTCTGCGCTAGCCTTGTGTAGCTTCTGGCTCCGCTGTGCTAACAGCCTGTGTGCTGCAAAGTTGACCTGCTAATATGTTCTTCTGGACGTTAAATGTGTCTTGTCAACCATATTTAAAGCTCTGCAAGAACAAACATTCTGGACCTTCAGGAAATACATATTAATTCATAGCCCCTAATCAAGCTTGTATCTAGACCAGTAACCATGAAAAGCAATCCAGTGAAGAGTTTTCTTTTTAGAATGAGAATGCCATGTTTTTGCATGACATGTTTGCAGTGCTCACTGGTTGATGGAGTCTTCCACCTGCTTACTAAGTCCATGAAATCACCAGGTACGCTGGGAACACAGTATAGTCTGCCAGATAGCCATGTGGGGCTTTAGCTTGTCTTAAAGTTTTAATACTAATTGGTTTATTTGGCTATTAACTCAGTAAAAGAACCAGGAAAAGGGATACAGAAACGCATCAGAAGAGGTTATAAGAATCAGGTTTTAAAAATCTATTTTAAGTAGCTTAACCGGCAAATGATAGAGTTTTGGTTTGAGGCTTCAGTAATCTTGATTGACAAGAGGAGGCTGCCGCACAGGTAATGGATGAGAAGAGAAAGGAAAAATATCATAGGTTGGGTTTGAGTTAGAAGAGTGGAACAAAGTGAAGATTTCTAAATCCTTGTTAAATTCATCACCTTTCAAGTAAAGACTTAAATGTGTGGCTTGACACAAAATGAAAAATAGAAGGGGCTTTCCTTGATTTGAGCTTTTTTTCAGGTTAACCTCAGGGAGTCTTTTGCTTTTACGTTAAATACTCCAGATTTATTTCAAGTTTTTAATGTTTGTCTAAAGAAAAGTAAGAACCTGTTTAGAAGTAGGAGGAGAAATTAACATGTTTTAAAAGTGACAAAGGTTGATCCTGGAAAATACCGTTGTCGTGTACATGACTGTCAGCAAGTCTTAAAGAGCAGCTCATTTTTCCTTTTTAAAGCTTTAGTGTAAGATTCTTCATGGAAGAGTAACATTATTTCTTTCAAATACGAAAAATGTATATTAAATTATTTTATTTGAAATTAAATGTTATTTTTGATTAGGGAATACATTCACATGGCTCAAAAAATCATCAATGTTAAGAAGTATTAATTGAGAATACTCATCTCTGCCTCTGCCCCAGAAGTCATCACTTTTCAGTTGTTTAATGTATCCTTCCAGTGTTTGGGTTTTTGATGCTTTGGAGACACTATTTCTTTTCTGTAACTAATGAGTTTCAGTATTTCATTTATTTTGGTGCTATTTTTGTTTGTTTATTGTTTTTTGTTTTTGAGACAGAATCTTCCTCCGTTGCTCAGGCTGGAGTGCAGTGATGTGATCTTGGCTCACTGAAACCTCTGCCTCCTGGGTTCAAGTGATTCTCCTGACTCAGCCTCCCAAGTAGCTGGGATTATAGGCATGCGCCACCACACCCAGCTAATTTTTGTATTTTTCGTAGAGACGGGGATTCACCATTTTGACGAAGCTGATCTCAAACTCCTAGCCTCAAGTGATCCACCTGCCTCAGCCTCCCAAAGTGCTGGGATTACAGGCATGAGCCGCCACACCCTGTCAATTTTGGTGCTATTTTTACATTAAGATGTCATTGGGAAAGGGAATTCAGTATTGTCTATTCCTTGCTAAGATATATTCTTAAAATCTAAGAGGATTCATATAATGAAATGGGGATGTTTTGTGTTTAAACTATTCAGAAGATGGGCTCTCACAAGGGACTTTGTTTTGGATATGAGAAATTGTGTGCTTTGTTAGTATAGGATTAGTGATCTTGGTGGTTTTAAAAAATTAATCTTTATTATGAAAACTTTCAAAATAAACAGAAATAGGAAATGGATGGCTCAGTCAAAAGAAAAAAAAAGAACAAAGAAAAAATAGTTTAAGAAAAAAATGAATAAAAAGACAGAAGTAGAGCAATATAAGTAACAACCTCTGTATATTCATCTCACAGATTCCACAATTACTAAGATTTTTTCTGTTTGCTTCATTTGTCTCTTTTAAAT